CACACTAAGCTCCCGCGAAGTGCGTCTCCCATTGATTAACGCGAACGGCAAAGTTATTTATTTTCATTTAACTTCGGACAAGAAGCGCGTCGACGAGGGGGAGGGAGAGGGCTTCCCGTCCGTGCGCTCGCCGGTCGCGATTGTGCCTTATTCATCGAATAGATGTTCGCGCGTTGAATTTAATTAAGCTTCCGCCCGAGCACAGCTACCGCCCTGCGGTTTCGATTCGACTTGGGACCTCCTATATATATTACCGAATCAAGCCGTAGCCATCGATGAATTTCCAGCTGTACGCCGAGACGGTAAACACGATTTAGAAATCAAATAATCGCGACTCCATGATAGCGAGGGTGAGGGGGGAGGCAAGTTCGTCGGTAAAATAAACACGTATGATATCGATGTCGCTCTCGTCGCCGCTTGAACAGAAAAGAGGTATCTCGTGGACGGATCTAAGACGCGGAAGACACGTGTGCGATTAAAAGAGAGAGAGAGAGAGAGAGAGAGAGAGAGAGAGAAGGGAAAAATTTGTATAATTACACGGAGAAAAAGAATTTTGCCGTTGTAGCAAAATCATCTCGTTGCTATTGTATATACGTCGCAACAGCAATAAAATTTGGCCGAATTACGCAGATCATTCGTAATTAGAGCGGAAACAGTTTTATTGCCAGGATAGAAGATATTCTGCTCTAAGGGTGAATTTGTCCGATAGGACTGGCGCGCGCGCGTTATAGGAAATTAATTAAACGCTGGCTCGCGCTCTCTCTCTCTCTCTCTCTCTCTCTCTCTCGCTCGACGCTGACCGGGGATTTTCGAGAGTGCACTCGCACGTGAACGCGATCGTGATCATTAGCGCGCTCGCGAGTGCCCATAGGCGGTCGGGTTTGAAGCCGCGTTGCGTTCAAGCTCGAGACGGGACGGGCCTCGCACACCTCTCGAACAGAATTGAATTCAAACTGGGTTACGGGACATACATATGAATGAACGCGAACCTCTCTTTTTGAACTCGTCGAACTTTGCGCGGGGAAAGAGAGGGGAGGGCTTGCGATTCATAGATTAAGTAAAACACGGCCGCGGAGCTCGCTCGTAACAGGGCTCGGATGCATTTCTCCTTCGTACGAGGCGGACGTACACTTCGCCCAATAAATCTGGCCCCGCTGTATGATTCTCGGCCGCGAGTTTCACACACGGACGATAAATCCGGGTGTTCCTCGCATTCGAAAGTCGGTCGACTTCGCCGAGCACGCCGCTTCCTTCTTCCCTCTTCCCTCGGCCGCACCACCGACTAAGCAGCCGCCGGCCCCTGTATAAACCGGCGCATTACCAATTCAATTGTTACAAAGTACGTTATGTCTCAGCGTTTCTCGAGTATCTTTTTTACCCTCCGTCCGCCTGCCGGCCGGTCCACGCGGACGACGCGTTCGGGAAAACATCGAGTGAAATTAGTCGGCGTGACGACGTCGACGTCGCCTCGCACGGAAAGAAAGTCTGGTTGCGTAACCGTCCATCCTTAGAGAAATTACAGCTCTTCTCCGCGCTGCAAACTATAAACTTTTGCAGTTTCTTAACCGCGAAAAGCGGTGGATTTTTTTTTAAGCGTGGAATTTCGGCGGGACGGGCGGGGGCCTTTCGATCGATCGTTAAACACCGACGATGGAATTCGGCGAGAGATGTATATTTTCGGCGTTTGTGTGCGACAGATCGTGATCCTACAGTATTGGATATCCGCGGGCACACGCCGAATTACACGGTCGAGATTTACCAACGGTGGCCGGCCGCGCGCGAAAATCATATGAGCCAACAATTTCAACTCTTTCACACGTCTCGGTAACTACGAATCGAGGAAGCCACCAGTGAATAATCCAGGCGATCTAATCTCTCCCACGAGACGGGAGCAAAAAGACGCGCGTAAAATACGGTTACGTGAGTTATGGCCGAATCTTTCCCTCGCTTTCCCATGAGTTATACCTAATCCTCGGCGATGAATCCGTCCGCATCATAGCGCTTCCAACGTGTATACGTGTGACGTACGCTCCACACACATACACACACACACACACATATACATACACATTCACACAGGCATACACAAACTTCTGCGAGAAATATAAAAAATTTCCGATCGTTGCTTTCAAACTACTCTGTCTCTCTCTCTCTCTCTCTCTCTCTCTCTTTCTCTCTATCTCTCTTAACGCACATTAAACAGGAGGTTCCGAAGCGCGAGAACGCGGTCAAAAAGCGTGATGATGCGGTAAAACAAACGGGGTTTATTCCATTAGTCATCGAGTAGAGAAAATCGGAAATCGCGCGGTTCGCCCGCTCGTTCGTACGTTCGCACGCGGAAAAAGCGAGCCGGGCCGTTAGTCGTCCAAACGCGAAATCAATCCGAATTTATCGGCGCCGGTCATAATGCCGCGCTGCCGTAATCCTATTTACCTCGCGCAAGGCTCCGTCTAGATCCGTCCTAATTGTTCGGACGCCGCAACGGTCAAATATTGCACGCTGTATATGCGCGCCGAAGGCGGCCGCACTTCGTTCAATGGCATTGTCGAGAGGCCGTCGCGCCGGTGCCCGAGTGCACTTCCGACGTGTACCCCCTGCAGTTTGCCCGGGACAGGTGACGCTCCATTGTGCCGGTAAAATATTGACACTCGATATTTCGCCATGCTCAGCCTCGAGGAAACGCGGAATCCGTCGTGTTTACGCAGACGTCGTCGGCGGGCGAGCAAACGGCGCGCTCTCCGCCCTGATCTTCATTCTCGCCGGCGTCGTCACTTCGGTGCCTCGACATTAGCGAGAGATCTCGCGGGAGAAAGGAGAAAGGGAGACCCGCAGAGTTTTCCCAGATTTTGCCGTACATAGCGGAGATTCCGATTACAATACCCAAAGTTGTCCCAAAATAGGTTATATTACTAATTGACCGTAGTTATGCAAGAGAGATCCCATCTACGTGCGATACATTTTGAGAAAAATGAAAATGAAAATTTGATACGTGATTTGAAAAGTATAAATAGCACTGAGGTTCTTTACAAACGTTTTAAGAAGTCAACACGATTCATTTTCTTGTTTTCTTTATAAGCATTTCATTGACAAGCTTAAACCTGAGAGAAATGGATGAAAAAGGCAGAACTAGTAAGAAATGAGATTAGTGGAAAATAAAAATTGTTTTTTTTTTTAATTAATTTATGTGCCCATAAAATTTGGATCTTGTTGTAGAAAGACGTGTAGATTTCATTGATAATAAAATCTCAAGAATTATAATTTTGTGGGTTGGATCTTTCTTGCACAACTATGGCCAATTGGGAATCCCATTCTTATTCCAAACATGGAATGAAGCCTCTTTTCCGCTGATTGGCTGCGTGCTGCGCGGTTTGCCTCATCGTTAAAGTCAAGTGAAGGATCGTTTGGTTTCTCAAACAATAAATATCTTTACGTCAAGTAACATATTTCTTTTGTACTTTCATCCAAAACATTCCAATAGTTATCGCAAGAAATAAATTATTTGAAAGAAGTAATATTATGTAAAAAAAAAATAATAATAAAGAACATTTTTTTTCGATGATACAATATTTGTTACATAACGAAATAAATTTCTTGATTGAAAACCAAATAATATCTCCTCTAAATAATACTTTTTTTTTTTTTAATCAAATAACATGGTTTATTCTAGTGAAACAACATTTTCGTTGGGATAAAATTATATTTGATATTAAATTATGTTGTTTATATTAAACAAACGCAAGTTAAACACAGATGTGTACTAAATCCAAAAAAAACTTTTATCTACATAGAGGATCTGCTTGCGTTTCCCACGTTTGGAATCGTACGTTTGAAATGCTGCACTTCTAACCGGAACCAGCACAGTTTTCCCGGCTAGAATCCATCCTTATTTTGGGAAATCGGACTGGATTCCAATTAATTCCCGAGAAATTTTCTATGCGGAAAAGGAGAGCGAGAGAGATAGATATATCATTGGACGCGTCTCTCCATGGATTTAAGTATACGCCCGTAAATCGCCGAGTCTAATCCATCGAATCGTAATGTCGAGTTGACCTCGTCCGTTACTTTCGAGTTGTTAAGCGACAAAGGCGAATCGGACCCCGTTGCCGCCGCCGCCACCGCTTTTAATACCCCGGCAATCTCATACCTATTCGAAGTTCTCTCTGTTTTACCTTTCAGTAGGAAATTTACAACTTCTCTTTTTTATCGGGAGGGGAATTAGTTATCGCGCAGTGAAGTCGCGATATTTTAAAACTGCAAAACATCGCGGAAAGTTTCGCCCCGAGTGGAAAGTAAGATTGCTTTCTTAGTCGAGTAACTACCTCGTCATTACTCCTTAACATTTCTTATCAAAGCGTCACTCGGTAAACGTTATAGCGTCACTTAATTACTATTATTATCGTCATTATTATTCTTATTATGACATCGTTAGATCTCATGCATGCAGTCTCGATAAATTCAACGAGCCGTCCGATGCCGATCTGATTTAAGTGAATAAAACAGAGAAAAATATGTAGTGCTCGCATGAGTTATAATTTATTTGCAACACTTTTTCTTCATATGTGTGTACGTGTGTGTATTTACACAGAGAAAAAAGTTTCTTTGGATTTAGCATACATATTTGGTTGAGGCAGATTTATTTAATGACATAATTTAATATCAAATATCATTTTGTCTAAACAAATATATTGTTTCGCTAGAATAAACTATGTTTGATGGGAAACACATCATGGGGAAAATAATATTTAGTTTTCAGTAAAAAACAATAAATTTCAACATATATTAAATATTATTCAACTGATACAGAAAGAAGTTCTTTAACATCTTTCTAACATAATGTTGCTTCTTTCAACGAATTTATTGTTTGAGAAACCAAACCGATCCTGTTTGTCGAGTCACGTGTCCGCCTGATTTCAAAAGGGAAAATTTGTCCGAATTCAAAGAAATTCCACGAAGTCCAAGGAAATCTTTCTCTCTGTGTGCGTACAGGTCGCGTCACTCACCGTGCGGTTCCCCAAATTTTTCACACGGCAGTTGAGATACGTGGTCTTGCCCAGCAGCGCGGTCACGTTCTTCGAGGCCGATTTGTCGAAATACGGCCCCGACCGTGCGGCATCCTCCAGAGTGTTCTGGTATGTGTCGCTGCCCTTGCTGCTGCTGCTATAGCCGTGCGCCTCTGTAACAGAAGCCAAAAGAAAACGCTGTGGATATGCCGCAATTTCGATTCTGAACGGATGATAGAGAGTACATTCCTTCACGACGTTATTACGAGACAAACCCGTCAAGCGCGTTCCCGCTCTGCGTATCGAGAAGCGAAAGATGCAAACGTAGCCCTTTCTTTCTCTCTCTATTTCTCCCTCGGTCCACGAAACTCGTGCACTTTCGCGAGACAATGTTGCAGACTGCCGGACAAACGTAGCGCGAATCGAAAGTTTCGAACAGTTACTTTCGCGCGGCGGCTGTGTGACAATCGGGGAAAGGCCGGTCGATTATTCTTCCCTCGTGAAATTTTGCATCTCGTTTCGCGAAATTTCCAACTTTGACGAGTTCGGAATAGACTCTTTATAGAAGAAAAAAAAAAGGAAGAAAAACAGGGAGGAAGAGAGAAAGTGGGAGGAAGAATCGCGTAATTCGACGGCGGGAGAATTGGAGCGGATGATGAAAACGGGCACGTATAGTGAGACAAACGTCATTGAAGCCGGGAAAGGGACTATCTCTGCTAATATTTATTTACACGTTTGCACGACATTACGCCGTATGCAACATTTTGCGTGCTCGCGCGACATTGTGTTGGGGAAGCATAATGATAATCATCATGAGAGAATTATGATAATAATCATTATTATTATTGTAACCCTGATATTACTGTCGCGTGAATAGTTACGATATCATTACATCGTACCGTTAATACGCACGTGCACGCATATACACACATATATATATATATATATATATATTTAAACCGACCGGACGAGAGAAGGGGGGGG